CACCCACCCCTCACCACACCCCTGCAGTGGGCGATTCCTGGCATTGTGACACCCCCGCACGTTGTTAACTGAACCTGTGAAGTAAAGGAGGAAAGCATTTTCTTAAGGGAAATAAGCGTGAGCTTCCTGATGAATGAAACCAACACTTCTTGCTCACCAGTCAATTTTGCTCCTTAAAGACATTCACACATTAAGAAAACATAACATACCAACCACTTGGCGTCTATCACGGCGATCGACAGGTGACTAAGGTTATCATGGCGCTGATGCGCCGTGTGCACGGTCCACGCTCGGTTGCTCCCAGGCAGGGGAAGCGAGGCCTCAAACCAGATGCGTTACAGGATGAGCGTACCAGTCAAATAGCGCAAACATAACGTGTTCATTTCCGTCACCATTTCCCCATGTACACGTTCTCCATAAAACATCACCATATCACTCAATAACTCCTTCCTCACCCTCACAGTGATGATGTCCACAATCGGCAACCCGAAATTCGCACAAATAATGCACACGTCTGGTCACCTGATTAGCAATCCCACTACGTTCGTGCGATTCACCTAAGTCAAAAAAACAGATTCCTTGCTCAGCTCCCTCTCCATCCAGCGTCTATTTTGAATGCTATTGCCTAGTGCAGGGCAGGGTGGGAATGAAGCAAAATGAGAGTGAGTATCGAAGGTGGTGCCTAAATAGTGGCCGGCATTCCACGCCTCTGACAACTCGCCGCTCAGTACCGCCCTGTCAGGGCGCCACACTGACAATGGCCACCCTTGAATGCCTTGAAATTTGTTGACGCAGAATGGCACGGAAGCCAATGGTCATGCCCAGAAATGCACCACAAACTTCGTCGCTGATTCAAACCACCGGCCCTCTCACACAACGTCGCCCTTGGCAGAAACACATTGGCAAAGTTCGCAATTAAATATATAGCCAACATTCACAGCCCCTAGCGTGTCCGGGGCACCACATTGACTCCATCCCACGCTTCCACGCTAAACACACTGTGCACTGGCGTGCACAGCAGTGGGTGTGTATTAGCAGCGGCGTTGCTGGCAAGCCAACAGTTTAGGAATGTTACTGCGGGGGAGTGGGTCTGCTACCGCAAATACATGCTTGGTCTTTACGTTCAACTTTTTGCGTGTAAAACGCAAAAATGCAAAGGGGGCTATTTTGCGGCAATATTTACGGCCCTTTGGGACACCCACGTTACATGATGAATTCGCAGACAATGGTGAGTCCTCAGCCCCCTTGAGCACCCGCAACACAGAGTCCACATCCCCTCGGCAAGGGCAAAAATGTCGTCGAACAGAAAGTCGTTCTCTGCCCACTCCAGCGCGTCTGGCTGCCACTCCCCGGACTCCTTGAGTCTGCCTGTACTGTCTTTACGTACGCTGGGTCAAAGTTTACGTGTTTTAAGCGCTTTTACGTGTAAGAACGTACATACTATTTTTACGCGTGAATACGCGCAAATGCTCAGTGTTTGCGCCGCAAAAGACCAAGCGTGCGCAAATACAATGGTTGATGGTCGCTCCAACCGACCACGCGACCCTCATGTCGCCTTTGCGTCGCTACCATTGCCACCCACCGCAGTGCGTCTTCTTAAAGAGCACAAACTCCCTGCCATTTTTTGCGTGGACGCGAATGTTGTGTCGGCGATGCGTGCTTTGCTTCGCGCATCCTGCCATCATAAATAACTCCAGTTGGTACAGCTATACAAAGATTCGGACCGCCTTGGACTTTCTGACGTGAGCCTACAAGCATCGACTTCTGGGCGCTCCGAAATGGCTCAAAAGCGCCCTTTCTGTCCACGCAGGTGGTCGCCTCCAAAGCCGGCAATGGGGGGATTGCCCAAAGAGATTCATCCAGTCCGAGATTGGGATAACGATTGATCGCAATTGCCACCCCCGGGATCATGCCGCCAATGGCCAAGCTGCCCAGCCTGTGTTGGTGCTGTTCCGCGATTTCCAGATGAGATTCCTGACGAGAATTATTCAAAAGCCCGTGGCAGAATAAAGGTGTTGAACATCGTCGAGAGAAGATAAAATAGTGGAACATTAGCAACAAGGATTGTTCCATTTTGCCTGTGCTGAATACACTAAGGAAAAAAAAGGGCCGCATAACACGTGTTCAAACGTGTATAAAGTTCACGGGGTTAGGTTATTTTTGCGTTACTAGTGTGCAGAGCTTTTGATGAAATGTGTTTTATGTGTGTTCGCAAAAGTGTTATTTGGTCCTTTCTTGCTAGTGATATATTCTGACAAACATTCGCGGTCGGCGAATCACGAGTACTTGTGACATTAATAGACCAATTGTGACGCCTGCATACGTAGGACCTACGTATGCACGTACCTGGTACGTGCCGACCTCTGGAAATGCACAATTGGTTACTCACAATTTGTGAGTGTAATGCCCAGAAACCTGCTCTCGCACATCCTTCTTGGTCATAAATTCACGACTTCAAACAAACCTAGAGCCTTTCAGGCCTAGAACAATTACCTCGAAACACATCCATTTTCTCACTGTTGGAGTACTGCTGTGTTATTGCCATTTTTGCCGTAAATATGTGTCGAAGTTTCCAGAAAACACTGCTGCGCCTACGCATTGCGCACTATCTGACATCTATGGTTACGAGTGCCTGGGCACTGGCGATGCCCAGTGCAGCAGACACAACAGTTCCTGAACTGCAAGTCGAAGTCACAAAACTTTTGCACAAAATCGCACCTTACCACGTCCGATTTTGAGCATTGAGAGAATCCGGTTGCAATTCATGCGCCGTGTGATTCTCGGAATTTCCAAACTGCCAACCAGATCTCCTAGAAGGCTTTAGACACTTGGCATCACAGGAATACGCTTCGCTCGATATGCGATGCGCTCACAGCCATCTTGCGAATAATTCCCGATCGCGGTGGTCAACGTTTCAGTATATGGACTTGAAAATTGCAATCAATTGATTGGAATAGGTAAAATTCCCGATCACAGTGGTCAACACTTTCAGCAGATGTACTTGACGATGCCAACCAATTGACTGGCATGGGGAACGCCTTATTTCTCCAGCGCTTAGACTAGCATTAGTCCGGCGTGCAACTCCCGGCAAGACCAAAGACGTGGGACCTTTCAGACCAATGTCCCATTCACACTAAACGTGCGTTGCAGCGCGAGCATGTTTTCAGCACCCCGGCGCCAGATGTCGAGAAGCGCTCCCCGCCATTTACCGGGACCTTCCCAGCATCCTGCCACAAAGAACCTGGGAGCGGTCAGAAATGGTCGCATTGAATGGCATTCAAAGAGGACCCTGCGTGAAATGTGAAGCTCCGAAGTGTCGATTTTCGAGGATGCACGCTTGGCGTCCGCAAACTTGGACATTCACAAAGCTCATCCCGTCTCGCTTCAGGCCCGGTGCACTGCGGAGATGCCGAAACGTCGTTGCCGTACTGCGGCGACTGATGCTGTCCGCGAGAGGCCTCTCGAGGGCCCTGGGCCAAGTGCGTTCCGTGCAGTTCACAGGGAAATGCCCGATTCCTTGCCTCCCTGTTTTCCCAGCGTGCAACAATTTTGTCCGTCCGAATCCCATTCAAGGGACAAATGACCCGTTTCCGATGCCGGTGTCCTCGTGCTGGCGGGCGCACGTCCGACGTGGTGGCGCCGGTCCCAGAAACCTATATATTGCACGAGACGCGGCTGGCACACCGGGGCAGCCCGCGAACGAAGCGCAAAGCCAAGACCACAGGCAGCCGTGTCGCGCTTCGCAGGTACGGCGCCCCGGACGCCGACGCGTCCGTGAAGTACGATCGTTCCGAGAACCACAAACGTGGGGCGTTGAATGCGCTCGGGGCATCATTTGGGTTATGCTGGATTGTGCACGCCTTCGCCAAAGTGGCTGTCGGACCAGAATCACGCGCCCAGCAGTCGCTGGAGGCGCGACGGGCGTTTTGGCGCGATTGGAGAACGTTGGCTGGTCCATTGAGATTCCGCCCGCAGGGTAGCGGGCGTGGTCGCGGGTCGCGCAAGGGGCGCATTTGTCCAGGCCCAAGGTTTGCGAATCCGCCAACAGCGCGGCACTCGGCTTTTCGTCGCGTCCGCTAGGCCACGGGGCCCAGGCGCGCGGTTCTGGTCTGGAAGCGCGCCACGCTCACTCATGCATAAGTGCATGTACGTGTACATGTCGCGTGGCACTTGCGCAAGCTTATAGAAGCATTCTGGTCAGCGAACTGCGGCGGGCCTCAGTTCCGTTGTTGTGCAAGGTTACTGCTGTTCAGGCTTAACGCCTATTTCACTGACCACTCCGGGGCCGAGCGAACGCGCTCTTGGGAGGCCCGCCATGCTTCGGCTTCGTTTTGCTGGCCTTCATACCGAGATGGGCAGCGTTAACGGGCGTGATGCAGCTGCGCCAGACACAGCGGGGCGACCAGTTGCAGTGGCCCCTGCCCCTGTGCGCGAACGGTCGCCGCGAGCGCAGGGAGGCTGTCGTTAGGCATGCGGTACGTTGCCCAGAGGGGCGCTCCAGTTTGGAGCGCCAGACCGGCTTGTCGCCAGGTATTACACGAGCTTCACGTGCTCGGGCGCCTGCCGCCGGCGTGTTTGTGAGCGTCTGCGTGCGCCTGTGACGCACGTGTGACCTCTCCTTTAGTCATCCCTGACGGGGCAAAACAGGTGGTGGGAGTTGGGGGCGCTGCTTGGGCGCGCGCCGGTCGTGCGAGGCCGGTGATGGGATGACTTCACTGTCGAAGTCGACTCCGACCTCTGTGGGGAGGGCCGCACAGTACAGTACTGAGTGTATGATCGCACCCAAACTGTACAGGGAGGTGATGCCCGCGTACCCAACCTGTCGAGACAGTGACCGTGCACAGACAGCTGTTGCAATGTGCCGTGCCGCACGCGTGGTGGTGCCTTGCAAGCCATTGCCAAAACCATGGATGTGCAGCCGGGACTGCTGCGTTCCTCCGAGTTCTGTCGTCATTCACGTTTGTGTCATCCGCAGTGCACGGAAATCTGATCTCCGCACCATGAAGCCCTTCCTGGTGGCCGCTGTCCTCATGTGCACAGTAAGTTGGGGGCGCAGACGGCGCTCTTCGCCCCCTTGGCCAGTCGTGACTGCGAGCAATGGACATGTTCATGTTACTTCCTTGCAAGGGCGATGATCACTATGATTGACCAAGCAGACCTGAACTAACGTTTCAGAGTGTTACGCTCCAGCTGCCAAACTTGAAGGCTTCAGCTGCAATCAGCTGCAAAATGCGTCTGTTGCGTGGACAAAAAAAGCTGCATGTCGCAGTGCATTCTTCTCAAGGGATGCTTGCGAAGAAGGTTTAGATCAAAGACGTGTATATGTTACGTTCGGAAAATCAAGTCATCGGTTTTTGTTTCTTGCATTCCACAGACGTCATACAACATTCGCAAAATGCATCAGAATGGTCCAGACAGTGTCCCGTTGTGAGCGGAACCCCCGCTGTGCGTGCAGGTCGCATGGGCCTCCGCTCAGGACTTCCCAGACGACATCGGACTGTGCGGCGAGGGCGTGTGCATGGTGACGCCCGTCATCAAGGACGACCAGGGCGACGCCATCGGCGTCGGCCCCGTGAGCGCCACGGTGGCCCAGGACACCCCGGGGGGCTACCCGGCCGTCATTGCGCTGTGTGGGAGGGGGCGGTGCATCACCGTGCCGGTCATGGCGGAAGGCATGACGCAAGACGAGGCGGTCGAGGCGGAGGGCGTCGCCGCTGCCGGGGACTGGCCCGACAGCATCGGCCTCTGCGGCCAGGGCCAGTGCATGGTCACGCCCGTGAACAAGAACGACGCCGGGGTTGGCATCTCCGTCGGCCCCGTGCCCTCGGACAACCTGGGCGCCGCGGGGGACTACCCGGAGTTTGTTGGACTGTGCGGCCGGGGCGTCTGCGCGGCTCTGCCGGTGGTCTCTTCGTAAGTGCGAGGGGGTGCTATCATTGCGTGATACCATTGTGGTGTGCAATTACCATGACATCCCGATCCAATGTGCTTCCGGTGGCGGGGCACTCATTTTGTGAACGATTGGCGGGGCGTATAGAAATTTGAATCGGCGGAATCGTACGGGAGAGGGAAGGGAATACGAGGACGGCACCGCCGTCAGATCTGTTCATATCATGTGTTCTGGTCGGTGAGGGGGTGGATCCTCAGCTGCGGGGATATTGAAGCAGACGAGACGAGGGTTGCGCGCTGGGTATCATCTAGGTTTGTGCCCATTTCCTCTAGAATTTTAGCACGTAACTGTAGGGCTCGCTTCATTGTAATATTGGCTATTGGCGCCTCCATGGGGCTACCGACATGGCAATTGGCAGCAATTTGAAATATTAATCCGCGGTACCACTGCACTGCTTCATTACCGGCAATGCCACGTGGCACAGGAGTGATCCATTTGCGAATGTAGATCCTGAATCAGTGGCAGCAGGCACAAGCGCATGCACACATGCCAGATTGTATCCCGCGGCTTGGTTATTATCTAGAACGTCCCCGGCAGCTCATTCTCTGTATTCCATGGCAAATTTCCGGACCATGCTTCCTTCCAAAGGCAAAATTACTTGTGCAATGCTCGAGAAATTCGAAATTTGACCAGAAAGTGATCTGATAACCTCCCGGACTGGGAGTCCCGGTGCTCGCTTTGTGCAGAACATTGCAATGGTGCAATGATGCTGGTCGGCATCACAAAAGCACCCAGCGTTACGGATGCCCGCAGGGAGCAATAGCACCCAGCGTTACTGATGCCCGCAGGAAGCAATAGCACCGGTGCTGTTTATTCAGCAAATGCCTCGTTAGTGAACTTACAAACACGAGACGCTTTCGCTGATGTCTGTGGCGTTGGTGCGGGACTCAGATTCCGTGGAGGTTGGCAGGCCGTCATTATTCCGTGAGGGTTTGGTTCGGTGGTGTGTGCGGACCACACAGCAATGCATACCTCTTCGAGCCTGTGTTCCATGCCGGATACCGATACAAACCCTCATGCCCGGCAGGGAGCCTTCCGGTTGCAGAAACCTGCTGTTTATCGATTGAGCAAATGCGCATCCCAGCAAAATACACCGCTTGTTCTGGGTGCGACCATAGAACATTGGATCCCACGCCAGTGGATCCAATCCACGCCCTCCTTTCCATCCTTCAGCTGAGAATACCCGCCGCTCTGGGGTAGGGCGCACCAATGATATGTGTCCCTGCCCTTGGTGCAAGTCTCCTGCATTGCTGCCGATGCCATCCAGATGCTATCATTTCGCTTCCGCTGTACGACCAACCACAGTCTACAATTGTGGGGCGCCTCGAGGCCCCAAATTGACAATATACGATTGCCAAACAAGCAGGTGTTGTCGCTATGATTGTGCTGCTGCCTCAATGCTGGCTGATCCATGTGAAAGGCGAAGCCCACGCAGCCTGGTTGCATGGTGATGCTCCTGCATTTTCCACCCGTTCCCTTCTCTGGTGATGAGCAAGCCATGGCTTCAGGCGGGCGCAAACTGCTCGAAGGACTCCCGTTTGTGATGTCGCCATCAGTGATGCGCTCAAGCGTCATGCTTGGAGAGGTGCCATGTTGCCGGTTGACAGGATTTGTCTCCCTCGCATCCAGAGCATTGCTCTCGCCCAGGCACATCAGTTTGGCTGTGGCCTGAGCCGACCAGTCTAGCATGCCATGGTGTAGAGCTGCACGGATTTGGGGGCATGCAACGGTCACCGTGCACACAATGACACATACAAATTAGAAGATACTTCCCATGTTATTGAAGCTGAGTTTCAGACATGTCCTTTCCATCGACACAGGCCACCTTGCCAGAACTCAGCTCAATGTGCATCATCCCCTTGCTGTACTCCAGGACGCACAGCACATTGAATCAAACCTCCTAAACATTTTCCAGCTGCGCAGCAGTCCACCTTCACTGCATTCTTGCTATTGTGGTGTCTGCCAGCCTACAACCTAAGGGGTCGGCAATTCCTGTCGCGGCATTTACCACCATGCCACTCTCTAATGGACATCTTGCTCCCTTCCACGCATTGCACCACTGCCTCTTCACAGTTCAACGACCACCTGAAAAGCAGCCTGCCTGCATGTCACAAATGTACGGGGAAACCTGCCGCTGACAGTTTGCAATATATCAAAACAAGTTGCAATGTGGGAAACAATCGCCAATGACCTGGTATGTCATGCGCATGAGCGTACAAACCGCCTTGGCCCAATACGCGCCCCACTGCTGCTGCTGGCAAGTGGAGCGCTCTGAGCAGATACTGCATAACTGAAGGGCAGGACGCTCCCATGCTCCGTTCAGCACACACAATTGTCAACTGCCAATCAAGCTCATCCAACTGGACCCTGATACATCCCATAACAGAACTGACCACCAGCCTGCCCACCAAAACTTGCGCACAAGGGTGCCTGTGCTCGTCCACGTCTAGCCGCCATTTTCCTGGCCAGCATCCCCATTCTGTTCTTCAGCATCAACATAAACCTGGCCAGCATACTCCATCTGCGTCTGGCGAACAATATCCCTCGCTTGTTCTTCGTTGGGAGCATACAAGATCTGTTCCACAACCTTGATCATCTGCAAAGATTGGAGACCCAGTCAGAAATCTCTCCAACAGCACCTTCATTGGAGTATGGGTCGCCTGAACGCAGTCAGACAATCAAGAGTATCTGGCAAGGATAGGGACCTCACAAGTGGCTAAAAGGCTTGCTCTTACGTTGGCCAGGCCTTGAGTCTAAATCGAATACAATTAAAACACAGTTGAGCAACAATAATGCACATCTTAGAAAAAGCCAGAACGCAACCTGCCCACCCAAGCTCTGTGATTGGGCCAAGCAGGAGATTTACACTCGCCAAAGTGACCTCTGACCTCGTACTTCCCAGACAAGGCTCACATCAGCAGCCTCGATTGACATAATACTTCTGTCCAGGAACTAGCACTGTTCATTACCAAAGTTCAGGGTTTCGACGGTACCTCATTGTCACAGATATTGGGAGTCTGGCACAGGATCTCAACCTCCCGCAGCTTGCCATAGTAGAATTCCCGCTCTCGCAAAGATTCCTCTGCCTGAAGCCGCAGCTCAGAAACCTGCGACTCAAACAGGGTGTGCATGAGAACCACAGCTGTCTTGCACCAACTCCGGGTACATAGCAAGGGGTAAATTCAGACACTCTAACGGATATGCCAGCAAACGCAGCCCAACGTTTGCGCTGCCCAGCCCAAGGTAGGAATTGCAGTAGCATTTGTTCCACCCCACCTGGGCCGTCAGCTCCTTGATCTCGTCCTCCCTGGCAGCTAGTTCAGCACGATATGCAGCGTTGCCCTCCTGGCTAACATCTTCTTCTGTGCCATCTTCCTCTGTACCATGTGCAGCTGCTGCTGCTGCAGAGGGTGTTGCCTTGCCTGATGAGCCAGATCCAGGTCTCTTTGCAAGAGTGGTGGGCTTCCTCACCCTAGAGGCACCTGATGCAGGCTTGCTGGACACACCTGCGAGCACAAAATGTGCTGGACGTTGTGAATTCCGTTGCTGGGTTTGCAACGCGGGGGGAGGAGAGGGGCTGGCTGAGGCACTCTGTTGTCCCTTGACGATGTGCTGATTGCACTTTCTAAAACCATTTCTGTGAGGTCATGCCATATCAGGATTTGATGCTTCTTCAATGCTTTCTGCCCACAGCTCTGCATCCAGACTGTGACACGGCTGCCTGCTTCACATTGACTTGTGCAAGGATGCGTGCACGAATTCAAACCTGTGGGAGTGGCCCGCTTGGTTGCGCTGGAAGGTCGCCCTACAGACGACCCAGGGGGCCCCCTGAAGTCGCCAGTCTTGCAAGTCATCCGCCTGCCAACAGGGTCATAGTCCTCAACGCCCATGCCCCCTGTCTCCCTGTCAAAGAACGCCTTCAACCATTGCATGAACTCCATGTTGTCGAGTGGCCGGCCCTTTATGAGTTTGTTGACTTGAGTTGTCTGCGATCAGCCACAGCGCCGTGAGAGTCAGCAGACGACCAAGTGTTCACAACCCCACACAGGTAGCGCCTGGACAAGGGAAGCCAGCACAGCGGGCGTCATACAATGTGCAATCACTGCCAACCTGACAGTGCACACCTTGCCCACAGAAACACGCACAGCACACGCAAAACCAGGGGAAGAATAGGATCCCTTCAAACTCGTAGTGACGTCATTATCCCCCAACGGTCAAGCTTTCTGGACAGGTTCAGCATTCGTTTCATCCTGGAGGTGTCCCACAGGGCACGTGAACGCCAGCCCGCCCGCTCGAGTGCTGCGCGGCAGAGACCCCCCATGCGCCACCTTCTCAATGCCTTTCTTCGTGAAGAACGCCTGCAGCGTCTTGTAGTTGTTGATCATCTCGTATTCATTCTTCGCGTTGTAATCCACCTGCACCATCCCCAGGCAGGCCCAGGCCCCTTCAGTCAGCCTGCGCGCGAACGCAGGCCCGTCCGGAACGGCAACGCCGCCCCCAACCGCCATACAACCGCGCACCACGCCCGCGAATCTGGCTGGCGCGGTGGCGAGGATATTTGTAAAGGATGCAATACCTTTGATTGCGCAGGCAAGGGCGCCATGTCCTGCCCATGCCTCGAGGCAGGGGGAGGCGTGCGCCGCGGAAACTGGATTCCGATCAGCGACGTCAACGCGTCGAAACCTGAGAGTGGGCACCGCCCTCTGATCTTCTCCGCGGGGGCACGCCCCTAGGGACAGCGCCCATTCGTGGCACGAAGAGGCCCGCCTCCACACGGAACGCGAGATCATCCAAAGCCATAGCCAAAGCCAAAGCCAAACGTGCCAAAGCTCGCGCGTCACCATCCCTCGCCTCACCTTGTGCATCGGGAACTCGCCGGGAAACAGGGCGTCCATGAGCTGGCACGCGATGGCGCCTGATGCAGTCTGGCGGGGCAAGCGGCTGTCGTCAGTGTCGCCGGTCGCCGAAAGCGAGGAGCTGCAGACCGGCGCGGGGCGCCCGCCCGCCCACCTGTTCCACTTTGGTCACGTTGAGGTCCAGCGTGGAGTTAATCCACGCCAACAGCTCGTGTCTCCCGACGAAATAGGCTCCGTCGGCCATCTTGGTAGGCTAATTTGATGGGCGCCGCGACGGCCCCGAGGCGATCCCTCTCCCCTGCTCCCGCGCGTGCAAGCGTCCGCGGCTCCGTGCGGCCGCCGCTTCGGGGGCATGCGTGGCTGGCGACGCGGCGTGTTGGGGCGAGGGCAGTGGCGCGGAGAGTGTGGTTTGCCCGCGTTGGCCGGGTGAGAATGCCTCGAGCTCTTCAAGTCATTTGGGAGCGGTCCTGACTGTGGGCTGACAGCAACACAGCGCGAAAACCACAACAGGGGCCCAGCCAGACACTTTGAAATATTCAGCCCTTTCGAATCAGAAAATTTCACCGTTACGCTTTTTGCTCCGCGTTTCGTTTTTCATGGCGTTATTTCTATTTTTTGACATTGCTCCTCACAGAAAGGCTAAGTTTTGCGTTACTATTTATATTATTTTCTCCGCAAAAAGGACCAAGCGTTACGTTACTGTGCGGAAGGGTTTAAAATTTTGCAGTATACGATAACGTCATCGACTGTTGGGTGGAATGGCACCGGACGGGTTGAACTACAGCGAGATATTCAACCCTTCCGCATAGTAACGTAGTGTTCGGGTCCCAAATTAATGGAGCTCATCAGAAAAATTAGTAAAGTCCACTAAGGTACTGTAAAGATGCTGAGCAGAACGCTAATACGCGGCAGCGCATCACACAGGGGCACATGAGTCGGACACGCCCGGAAACGCCTTTGAGTGCTGAGGAGCACCCAGGTTGCCATTGGACGCGTGCGCTTGCTTAGGGACTGCCCGCCTGGCGGTCCGCCATGGACCTCGGTGAGACGGAGCCAGGAGGGCCGCGTGTAGGCGCCACGTGGTCGTCGGATGGGAATATGGCCGTGGGGGATTACGTGGTGGCTGATCGCACCCAGTGGGGCATACCGGGATGAGTTGCAATGAAGCGGTGGGTGTGGCAGAAAGGTTGCGGGTATCAAAAGAGCATCTCTGAGGAGTGGGGAGTATTTACCAGAGCTTGGGGAGTTTACAGGTACTGGAGGAGTGGCGAACGCTGCAGGGGACTCTGTATTGTTGCACTCGGCCTGGCAACTGTAAGAACGATTGCGTGGCGTTTGGGTGTGCCTCTCGCGACCTTCTAGCCACTCAGCCTGGCTGTCTGACTCCCCTGGCCGTGTGCGCAACGTTCGCCACGGCCTCAGCGCAACAGCGCTCGATTTTTCAAAAGTCGCAGCTAGGTTGTGCCGTTTTTGAGCCGCTCTCCCTGCCGCTCAAGACTAGCGTTGCCAGTGCGGTCGTGCTGTTGGCCAAAAATGATCAACCTTCGTCGCTGCACAGCGTCGTCGAGGTGGAAAGAGGCATTTTTTGTGTATTGTATCGCTACGGTGTGGACAAGGCCGCCCCGACCCTTGGGGCTGACATGTGCCCTGACCTCGCTGACCTTTGGGAGTGGCTGCGACCGGTTGTGACGCTCTAAGGGGCAGTTGTGAGAGGTTCTAAAAGCGCGTTTACGCGCTTGACGTTCAATTGGATGTTTGCCGCTCGCCTGAAGCTTCCCTTGCCGTCGCTGCTATTCTTGGTCGTTGGCATCGTCACGACAAGCAGTCCTTCGTGAAGAGCCAGGTTGCGCGAGGGGCAAAACTTGTTCGTTCAGTGTACCCTGAAATGGCTAGGTGCTGAGGCTGTCGATGTGGCTCAGCCGCCCGTTCAGGGGTGATTTGGCTGCGCTATCTCCGGGGATGACGGTCAGAATGGACCGCAGCCCTTTTCAGTTTCATTTGGCTTTTGCGGAGTAATAGCCAAAACGTGGCGATGGCAAGAAAGTGTAGAGCAGCCCCAACCGCAACACATGGATTTCTGGACATCTCGTGGCGTCAAGCGGCCCCAGATGTTCGAGTCGCTGTGGCGGAAAACCGGCTTTTGAGGACAGGCGACCTCGGCAGAGTCGCCATTCAGGCTGTGACTATGATGAGGAGCCCCTAAAATAGAGGCTTGTCGACAAAATGCACAGCAAAAGTAGCAATGGCGAAATTTTCTGATGCGAACGGGTTGAATATTTCGTGGCACCCCCTTCCTTGCCATGGCCAGGTGGTTTGGTTGAGGAATGGGACATCCCATCAGAGCTAACCGGTTTGATCCCCAGTCAGTCATCCTCCTTGCCATCCGCACTAAAACACAAATGGGGCTGACATATGCACATGGCATCGCCCAATGTGTTGTTCTCAGGAATGCAGGGGTACATTTCAAAGCTTATGGGCTCACAACACAGGGTCGGAATTGGGTGTCCGTGGGGGCATTTCATATGCCACATACGCATGGGTGGGGATGTAGGATGGGGCACCCCGCTGTCTGTCCAACTTTTCCCCCATGCCTCAGGATACAAGGCACACATCTGAATATTGTCTGAGGGTCTAAGACTTAAACCTAAATTCCATCCTGTCTTCTTTAATTCGTGTGGATGGCTACCCATTGCATGTTGCACCTGTTTTCCTTTCAGGAACCGCCCTTTCTGAAAAGGGTCAATGTTGACGTCCTGATGTTGTTTGAAATCGATCTCTCGACTGCATTTGCATGGGCCCATGGGATGAAATTCATGTTCCATGATCCATCCGTTTTCAACATCAGCAGCCTCCCCGGTCCTCTAACCTCGCTGGCATCGACATCTGAAAGTTGTTCGGTGAGCCTCAACAAGGCGAACATGCCATTTAGTATGTTGGCGATGTTCCTTTGCCTTAATTAGACAGGTTGTACGCCCATCGATGGAACAAAAAGATGTTGATGGAGGAATGAACGTTACGATATCTTCGACAACAATTCTTCCCTGAGGATAGCAAATCAATCATGGTGCCCCAACACTTTCTGTCCTTTGAGTACAAATGGTTCAAGCTACGATTCGCCTGTTTCAACGATACATGAAAAGAACATAGATCGAAAGTCTCAAAATAACCCTGTCTTGAAGGAAATGCCGTTGATGCGATTCAAAGGCCCCCCTTTGGAGTGCACACGGGAAGCGCGAATCCACGATCGCCGATGCTTCAACGGCGTTGGCACACAGCCAAACGCAGGCCACACCGCACACAAACTGCCGGGGCTTACATATTTGTTCACCCTTCCCACTATGAAGAGCCTTGCCGGCGGCGGCAACGAACCCCGCAACTGAACCATTCGAATTTTCTTGCACCCACAGAACTCTCCTTTTCACATGACAGTGACCATCGCCCATCAACCAGCCATACTACACTTCTGAGATACCCATTCATCGCCATAATGCAGCCCACTTCATAAAACATATGTCAAAGGTGCCTATACACTCAGTGGTAATGTACAAATATGTACAAGTCACACACCATAATGCATCAGTGATCCACCTAGTGAAACGGTGGTCATTATGCGGTGTTGCGAACACCTGGGATATGGTCGCCGGATGGAGTGTTCCGCAGATGATCACATTACCAAGAACACGCCACCCGTTCAGCCGGTTCACACTGGCCGCCACTTCATTGGCTCTCACTCCCGTTGCCCTGCCATAGCAATGGGGTCCCATTTCCCTGTTGTTCCTTTAGACCACCGCCTTATACGGTGCAAGTGGATGGAGATTGGATTTGTTGAGGACTGTCACTGGCGCAATCATGTCAAGGACTCTGGAGCTCAGTTGCATAAGACGTACGAAAGTGGACTGCTGCAACGGTGAACGGGACGACTGCATGGCGAGGCTCAAAATAAGCGAGAAACATCAGTGCGAGCAACACAGATTTGATGCTCCACATTCTTGCATGTCTCCTAGAAAGAGCGGGACGCTGGCAAGAAACTGGTCCAGGGCACTGCAATGCGCTGAAATCGACTCGACAACTTTGGCTTCTTCACTTCGGAATGTCATCCACACTGTACAGCCCGTGAAGCACCGGTGCCTTGCAGAATCGTCATGCACCTAGGGGTAATCTCCCTGGGTTGTGTCGAACTGCGCGCTTCCAAATGCTTGGAAACGTATAAAAACACAAGCGACAGACAAAAGCGCATACATGCCCCTGTGTCATATACTGCACATATTGCACAAAATAGTGAACCCTCCTTAGTCTTGGCCATGTACCACCTTGTGGTGGCTGCATTTTCGCTTGTCCACCTCGTGCACAATGCCATATGGCACCGGTTGCATGTCGATGCATACTGATGCTGATGCAACATAGTTCAGCCTGCAAGGAGGCAATGGTCTGGAGAAAGCCATGTCCTGTGGTACCAGCTTGACACTATCAGGCAACAAACATGTCACGAAGACCGGTCCTGGAAGACTGCCACACACAGAAACGCAGCAACTATACGTGTTTCAAAACCGGCCACTTTCTGAGCACCACCACAAGAGCAGCAGGCGAAGCGGCAAGAGCAAAGAGTTGTCATGATATCCTCCAGCTCTGATCGGCTTTTGAGTGGAGGAAACGTTAAAACATGAAAGAAAACCATCTGCTGCTGTAAGCAAGATAGATAGTTAACCACACAGAGATCCGCAACTGTGTTCTGGCCTTGGAGCCAAGGGAGAAGACGAGAAACCAAACCCAAGAGGTGCCGCTTTGGGCGTCCTGGTCAACAAAGAGCCCCATGTAATGGTCGTTGACGCAGGGTGAACGCATCTACTAGCTTGCCCGTTTGGTGGGCGCAGTGCCCATCGACGCTGATCTGGAAATGCCCTCTTCCATGTCTTCATATCTGCAAAGCCGCCATACTGACATCAGGAGCTCCCCACACCACTCAGGAGCAACATCAAAATGCCGCTGATAACCCATGGCGCGCAAAATCCATGTTGTAAACAACAGCCCTTCGCAACGTTTGGGTAGGCTCACAAAACGTGTGAGGCACTTGATGGTCAGAAGCATATGGTCACTGCACCTGGGCGATCAATAACATGAAACAGCACGTGGAGCGTGTGAACAGTACAAGGCGAAGCTGGTGCTCCGGGAGAAACAGAATCAAAATCAATATACGGGCAGGTGAGGATACACACCTATCTCCATCAGGAACTACGTCAGTGCCAGAACGCGATTTTGCCAGATGACCGGTGCCAGATGAGAATGAGCCCTGGTCACCCAGCCTGTTTGGCAGGTAGGCAGTAGGCTTGGATCTGATTGGCATTAGAGCAGTGGAGCTAATGCCATGGTTCCCTTCCAAAAGCTGGAAACACAGCAAACATCACACAGCAGAGTTGACAGCAATCAGCGTAAACCCTGAAACAACAACTGGCTGTCATTTAAATGAGTTCATGAAGGATCTTTTCCTACACAACGTTTGGCTGACACAGGGGTGCTACACAAGTGATAATGAATACAATGCTTCACTTCACGTTGCAAATGTATGCCTACTTCCAGGTTCTTCACAAAACACTACAAATGTAGCATGTGTGTGACGTTGACTTTATGTGCACGACATGTAACAAGACCCTGCTAATGATTTCCCTTGATATGCTGGTTCGATATATGATAAGCCTAAGAAGTTGTGCATTTGGCCATTGACCAACAGGTAGCAGTCAAAAACACAGCCACAGCCTGCAAGTATCTTGAAAATAGTGTTTGGTTAAGGTTCTGCCAATGGACAATACACCTGGCATGAACGTAGCAGCCACCAGCACATTGACTGATGCCAGGACAACGTGGCTTAAACGTCCCATGCGCCCAGCACTAGTTGTTTGAGGCAGCTCCGTTGGCAATGACACTTCCACATAAAGCCACCACATGCAGCTGCCCAACAGAGAACTCTTGTGCTTGTAATTTGTGAGTCAATGTTCAGTGCAGCATTCCATCGATTCTGTGAAGCACATCCTTACCACGTCTCTAGAGTCTTCAGATGCTGCACTCTGCAATTCCAGCCCCTCATCTTGGGAGCCGTCCTCCGCCATATCCCGTTTTGTTGTCCATCTCCGATGCAAGAAATGAAACACCAGTGGGACAGTGTACCACGCGACCACAACATCCACTGTGTAGTGCTTTCTCGAGGCTATAATCAGCATGGACAAAACAGCGCCTAACATCCATGCCAACACCTTCACAAAGAACAGGCCCCCGTATTCTGTGTAGGTGAGAACGCCCACAAGGATAAATGTTGTGTGGGATGAGAAGATGAGGTCCCCACACCCATGCGTTGCCTGCATCTTGGGGTTGACGATCAGGTTACCCCACCAGTGATCGGGCCAGTCGGGGGTGATTTTCTGGCCGTCGGGGCCCAGGCGGCAGTGATAGTTGGGAGCAGGGAGCTGCGTCGACAGGAATGAGACGATGCGCAAGCTCTGGCACGCTGGAAGAGGAAACATCCACACACCGTGGGCATCAAGGCGACAAATGGAGAATATCGACCGTACACAACACTGAGGCAACATCTACAGACATCGTGGCTGCTTCCAGCTCTGCCTTGCAGCTTGGAAAAGAGCACAAGACAGAGATGCTTACATGGCTTGGGAAACTGCAGCACTGGTTGGCACATCTGACACAAGATGAGCCCTCGCACCCTGCAGTCTACTTACCAACTAGCACCATGAGGATCCTTGAGAACAACACGACGGTGTAGAAGCGTTTCCGGGCAACCACAAAGGGCGTGAAGGTCCACACTAGAAAACTGCCGAACATGATACCAAAGAGCGTCTCACTCACCCATGCATTCTTCCGCCCAAGTTCCTGGCAACCATACAACAATGTGTTCTTGAGGGAAGCTGGCAACAGTGGAAAGGAAGCAAAAAGATGTGATGGATCTCGCAAGCTTCCAGCACTGCAGGGACTCAACACCCAATGTTCCAAAATGGACAGGCTGGACCTGCAGATGGCAACCTATCGCGCCACCAAGGGTTCAAACAAGAGCCCACTTGTAACCTCAGAAGCACGCACATCACAATCCGGAGCGATGGAAAGGGTACAATTGCAAAACTGTCACCATTACCGGAAGGGCATAGAATCCAGCATCTCCCAGAGGCTTCTTCTGTGCTTGATGCAGGTGGAGCTCTAGCAGAGTAAATATTCCATGGACATACTGGAAGATCCCACCAAATAGAATGATCTTCCATCGTTTCCTCAGCATAGGCCACTGTGAATGCAACAATCGTATCCCATCAGGACTGGCTACATCCAAAGTGTAGATGGTACTGCATCTTGTCAAAGACAAGTGATTTTGATCTGCATCAGCAATTGCACTTGCTGTTGTGGAACCATCGCCATGTCCACTAGGTTGGGAACAGCAGCTGCAGAAGTGTCCAATCTATCACATAGCACATATAGGACAGGTAATCCCAACCAGCGGTGGTCAGTTTCAGAGCACAATTGTCAGAGAAGAGCAGTTGAAGCCAGGGAAGAAGGAACACCCAAAGATCAATGCAAATGACACCATATGGTTGTGATACATCAGGTCCACATTCAACAATGGTGGGCATCAACTAACACTCTGGACGCAGTCAAACTGCGATCAATAGCCCATGCAGAAGTTTCATCATGGGTTACAAGCAATATTCCAGATTTCTTCTTGCTAGGCCCACATTAGCCAGCATCGGTTGGAATTGCTAGCTCAAGTGTTTGCTAAGAAAGCACACACACGACTTGTGCTTGCTTGTGTGCTGTCTCTGTAACGTTATGTTGAGCTCAAATGGCGCCCCAGTCACCAGCTGTGTTCAGTGTTGCAGCTGTTTCGGCACCAATTGCAGTGTCTGTGGGTCACAAAGCAAAGGCAGAGACGCAGTAAACACTGCAACAGCTATTTCCTTCCCGGGCATGGCCACACTCAGCCTTTTCCGAAGTATCCCGCGGTTGAATACGTCAAATTGGGCAGTAGCTCGCGGCCTTCTCGCGCATGTGGGACACACAACACAAACTCCTCTCGCCACCGTGGCCCCTTGGTGCTGGCGAAGTGGGTAGGGGATCTCAGCACAACGTGAAGCATCTTGGCCCTAGATTCTCTCCGCCACCTCTGGACGGCCCCGGGGCCCAGGCAGCAGCGCACCCGGACCCAAGCTTCCCACACGAGCTTGCACACGCGCCTGAAGAGCGCCGGGCGGCGCGCAGGCCACAGCGTCGCCAGCAGCATCAAGTCCCAGGCGCGCCAGCCACGCCCTCCCGCGCCACACAAGAGCGCACTCACCACAATCGGCCCTCACCTCGACAACAAACTCCATTTTCACGCGGCGCCACAGCTCTTGCAAGAACTCCGCATAGTGCGGCTGGCCGGTTTCTGCCGCCTGCGCCCAGCTGTCCGGCTGCAGCTGGATCACGCTCGCCGCCCTCCGCGTGTCCCACTTCCACGTGGAGGCCTCGCGCTCCTCAAACATCTCGGCCGCGGCAGCGGCGGGCGCCGTGATTCTCGCCTCGAATCGGAGCCTGTCAGCTGAAGAGTGCCAAGCAAAACGTCGCTGAGCGATCCCGGGGCCTCCGAACGATCCTCGGCCGCGGAGAATGTTTGAGCCGGACGGGAATCTGGTCGCGGGATTGCTGGGGCTGCGATCCCTTGTGAGTCCTGGCAGTCCGCATCGCTCCCCGCGGCGCCAGGAGGCGGAGCTGCTGACAGAAAGGTCGCAAGGGGGGAGAAGCGAGAGTGGCGGCGCGAACTTGCCTGCCGTGACCGAGTGGGGTCGGCACCCCACCCGCAGCGATCAAAGGCCGCACAGGGCAGCAACCCTTCCGAATGGGACTCCGAAGGCAACAAGTACTGGCAGTCGCGAGCAGGCTGTGTTCCAACATCTTAAAACAGCGACTTCGTGAATTCACCACCACCACGGCCCAGCCTGCCAATGCGTATGTGTGCACATACACATACGCACTATGTACACAGTGCATGTACATACAGTATGCACATTACCTCCGTAGCCTATGTACATGCTGTAGTATGTACACATGTATGGGACGAGGTTGCTGTCAACGACTCTGTCAAAACTTACTGTTAAAAACAACTCTAAGAAGAAGGGGGTGCACGGGGGAGGAATGGTGACTTACGTCAAACACGCGTCTTTGAGACATGCCGAGTCATCAGTCCACAGATGAGCCAACCCCAACCGTAGCGTGCTACCCAAAGGGTATGTAATGTAGAGAGGAATTTCTAGGACACGCACTGGAGCAAGTTGGGCTTGCCCACGGTCGCAAATGATACAAATGCATGCCCTTGCCAACGCAGACCCAGAAGGCCTCAGATCCAACGCACACACTACTCCAATTCACCAGACTCACCATATGCCAAGGACGCGTGACTCCCACAAACTGTTCCAAAGTATATGTAGCGCACGCCACAGCGTCCCCAACGGTGCCTAGGTGCATTTGCATCGCGCTCATGAAGGAATACTGGGCTTCACGCAATTGGCGGCGCCGCAATCTTTCATCGGGTTTCTCCCCATGCAGTCATGCCTGTCCATAGGTGGGTTCATGTCCACAAGCATGGATGACGCTATGGCGCTATTTGCTGTTAAACATTTGCACTCATTTCCAACCTCCACAGCAGCCAACGCGCAGTCAACACCCTTTCTGCTAATCGAAATTTGAACCACTCTCCGCTATATACGCCGCCACAGGGACATCAGCGCCTCCCTCCTTGCTTTCGCACACAAGGATCATGCCGCTTATCGACGCCACCCTCGCACATTTCTCATGCACTAAGTTCAAGACATATTCAAATCTGACCATGCCACCCTTCACCAAATTGTACATCGCGGTGCCTGCAGCCAACTTGCACAGCCTAGCTGTTAAGTGGGCAGCCCCCTCTATTGACGGCACTCAGACTGCTATCCAAGCGCATCTGGTTCAGCATAACAACAGGGGCCATCGAGGCATGGGTACCCGAGACGCTCAGACTCCAACGTTTCCAGAGAACCGCGGCTGTTCCACAGTCCTCCTACATGTACACCATGACAAAATCTGGCACACTTGCCAGGTTACGTGGAACGTTCTACTTGCTTCTTCGGTCCTTCCCGCAAAAGACCAATCCAGTGTCTGTCACAACTGTGCGCTACGAGGCCCGTCATTATTGAGAATGAAAACAAGCAGTGCATGTACAAATCGGCGACAGCGAATATGGAGATGTGGGAGAGCTTGTTTTGCAACGCGCTGCCGCTTCAAAAGAGCAACTGCGCAGCATTCATGTGATTTCGCCTGGTACGCAAAGCCATGATCCTGACCCGGCACATGCGCCTCATGCGCCTGCGTTTGAATCATACAGCCGTCTCACTTCCACAGCTTGGCTGTGCAGGCTGCCAAGGGCAGACCGGGGGATGGCCCTGGCTCGACTTTGGGGGGGGGGGGAGGAGATGAGCTGTTGTCAAGTACTACACAACGCCCACAAGCATTGCCAGGGCATAGACGCAACAATTGGCGTTACCAGGGGCAGGGGGGATTGGCCTCATTGTCCGGATGGGGTCCAGCCAAATCAAAATAGCGCCTTTCCTTGCGGTGCGTTTAGCACACGCATGTGCTTAGCACTGCCAGAATGGTCCTGCCATAATAGGCCCGTCATGTATCGGGGCTGATGTGTCTGCAAATAACGGGGACTGGGGCGATGTGATGGGAGAAGTTGCATTGAAACCAGCCCATGCTTGAGAATCACGCGAACTGCACAGGAGTTGGATGCTGATGTTCACTAGGAGCTCAGAATCCATGGAGTCCTGTCAAAAGACCTGACTTCGGGCATCCTATGCGGCACCCCCGGCGTTTGCGGTTGGTTCGATATCATTCAACAGATATGAACAGGCATCACGAGGGGAACATCCCAACGTCCGTACAGATTGCCTGTGCTGTGCATCTAGCGAATATCTCCAAGAACCTGGGCACTGCTCCTCGCTGACGTGAGGAGAAGAAGCTGTTGGATTTCGAGAAGAAGAGCTGCAGGGGCTGAGGGTCAATTAGAGACTGGTGCGCACAGTGTGACCTGAACGTTCTGTACCGCCAGTGCTTACATAATCAGCGATGATCCCTTCCACATGAATGAGCCGAGCAAAACCCAACAAGACTCCAGAACAACCTTGACCCAATGTGTACCTCTTTCTCAAGCAGATGTCATTCAGCCTTCGTTTTCTGAGATTCCTTCTCCAAATTTTGCCCTTTTGAAAGTGCGGCGTCCACCAGCATAACTAGTAATACAACTTGCCAAATTGCAAGTAGGAGGGTAATTGAGTAGAAGAAGTTGGAATTAGCTGAGCCCACTTGAATCCATTGGTGCCACATGGCTGGTCCAAGGACAGCCAGCAGCAAAAATGAGTTGCACATAAAGAACCACCACTGAAAATGGCGCATGAGCACGGGGAAAAGAGGAAGTAGGCCCTGCAGCAAGACACAGCATGCAAGATGACTTACCGCACACAAATGCTCTCAAGATACAGCAAATTCGCCTCTAATTCGGTTGTGCACGTATTTGGGTATTTTTCCTTCTAGCTTATGTGAGGGAATTGATGTGTACCATGCTGTGTTGACATTGTACGGATCATCAGACTGAGTCACGTATGCCACCTCACAGCCCGTAGCTTCAGGCCAGACTACACTCCTGAAGAACTGAAGCTTCACCATGCACCCAGCAGACAAGCGTTAGGTAAGCATTGCAGTGGGCCGTGACACGCCCCTCCACAGGCGCATGCACCTGACTGTTTGTGGCTGCAGCGACGAACTGAAATTCTAGTCCACATCCCTCTATAAAATTGGACAATTGCAAGCACCCAGGACTTCACATACATCTTTGCATGCAATCATACAGTCGCGGCACAGACGACACATCCACCTGCGCATCTTATCTGATATCTTTCAATAGCTCGCACCAGTTCTAATGCCGACTGATGGCGCACGAGACTGCCCATACCCATTGTAGAATATGTCTTCCAACATGTGCTTTAAGTTCGGTGGCCTTGTTGATGTTTGAGGAGAACAGCAGTTCCTGCCTTTAGCGGCCTACCAGTCGCACTTGCGTCTTGCTCTGTGACACATTTGTGCAGACTTTTATGTCCTCCCAGGAGAATTGCATTAATTCTCAGTTGGACCAGGGGCAACGTATCTCTTGAAGGGGGAATATCCAATTTACGCCCTGTCTCCTTGCAGCATGTCTGTATGGCGTTAATTGGCCATCGACAATGACAACGATATCCTGCACGGGGAATGGAAGCATACAAACGAGCAACGTCAAACAGATTAAGCAACTCTGGCTGTGCACTCACCATGTACAACGCAATGTCTGAGATCGTGGGATAGGGCTTGAACAGCGCATTAATAATGCATTGAAGCACGGCGATCACCAACGGCTGCTCCGGCATGCGGACCATCATTGGCACCAAGAACAGCACGGATAGAGAATGAAACACAAAGATGAAAAAGGATCTGAAATTGTCGAACATCTCAGTGAAGAAATACCAAAACAGTCCAATGTTTGGCGTGAGGTCCTCAACCTGAAGAACAGTGAGACAACATCAAATCTACGTGCTGTGAGCTCAATGCTGTGCACATGGTTGACAACAAACACAAAGGCGACCAAAACTGCCGCTGGTTTGACTGCCAGGCAATGGAAGTCCTCCAGCTGAGACGCTACATGCGAGGAAGTTGATGCCTAGCTTAGGAGAGCAATTGCCAGCAGCAGAAGCTCGTGTGGCGATTGTGACAGCGACGGTGCGGTGCAGAGCAGTTGTGAAGACAAAGATGATGCAGAATACAATCCTACAAACCCTGGTACCTACAATGATTTCTGTTCAAAATCTAAGCGTAGACTCACTGGGGACCCCATTTCAGACAACGAGTGCCTGTTGGCGCTGCTCTGGTACGGCTGCAACAGCACATTGTGCAGGCGCCCATCTCATGGGAGTGCGTGCTTCCCAGGCGCAGGGAGCTGTCAACACAGGATATTGCTAGGGCAACCAATCCAAACATGTCCACAAGCTCATGTGAGCCAGGTCCTGCCACAACTTTCCTTGCCAATTGAACGATCCACCACTGTGTACACTTCCTGCACAAGCTACAGTAAAATAGGGCATTATTCACTGTGTAACATACACATGGCAGGCACAGTAATGCCACAATTACAGTCAGGCTGCTACCCACAGGGCACATACTATGGCAGAAAGTCTTCAATGAAGCACAGTGTCTAGAGCTGAATAAATTGTGAAACAACAGCATGGTCTCACCCGCAACATAAAACCATATGTCTCTGCCATCCAGTGTTTCGCTGCACTTCTATATCTCCAGTCATCAGCATGCTCTGCACATTCAGCAGACCCTGCACCTCACAGCAAGAGTGAACTTTTGTGCCACTTGAGTTCATATGCCATGATCGTTCTCTTGGTGGTTGGCAACTAGAGAATGAAAAGAAACATGCAGAAGCCCACGACCTGCAAGCTTCAAAATCATGGCCAATATCTTGACAGAAGAAATGTACTGAGAATTCTGCAATCAGCACTCAAGTCCATTCAGAATTTCCATCTTCAGTTTTCGGATTGGCCAAGTCACAGGTTAGAACAAGAACAATTCTTCCTAGCAAACACTTGGAAGAGGGTGAAGTCATTGTCCTACAGTCCCAAGATCAGAATGCAGGGGAGACAATAGAAATCATGGTGCATATTTTGTACATCTTTGTGCAGTGGCCTGGTGTCGCCCACAGGATGCAAGATCAATGGTTTGCAAGGTATTGACACGTGTTATAGCACCTGTGAATATGGATTTCTTCCATGTACTGATCACCTGGCGATTCTGACAGCTGCCCACCTCGAATTCCAAGCACCCAGGACCTGCAGGAATGCTCTTTGAACTTCCTCAAAGCCACCTCTGACAGCACACACAGGAACGCAATCCAAAAGGCTACATAGCACAGGAACAACAGTAGCCCTGGCCATCCTTTCCTTGGTGGCTTTTCTCTGCCCCTTGCTGTGGGCACTGGGGAGAACCGTGACAAGCCCTCTGCAGGTTGGTGTGCTGACCCGCCTGTCAATCCATGGATGCAGATCACAGTTGCAGGTTCCACCCCAATGTACATCAATTGGCATAGTGGAAGCTGCAGTAACCACAACGAAACAAACAGGTTTCAATGGCTGAGTGGGCTGAATGCATGTGGGCACAGTGCTGGCTTCCATTCGTTGTGAGTCTATTACTCCAAGAATTAGCGTGTGACAAAATTGAAATTGAATTCGCAGTTGAAGAGATACAACAGGGACACAATTTTAAATTTTGAAAGCTGGGACAAGGGCCACGCTATACAACAGATGTCAACAAGATAGTAGGCAAATTCGACAAGTGGAATAAAGTTAGTGTCCTTCGCACAGCCCTTTCCAGACTGTCCAATTCCTGCACTTGGCATGAAAAGCTCCCGTTGGTGAAGAACTCATAAACGGTCTTATAGTGCATCTTTGCAATATGGTTAGCCTGATTGCATCCAAATCTCTCAAAGGTAGAAGGCAGATATTTTGGGAGCCAGCTCTTTAGTGCAGTGAGGAAATGTAGCTTGGGCAAGTGGTGCCTTCAGCACTGGAAGTCAAGTTTCCAATTTACAATTATCATGCAGCAGATGAGGTCAAGCTAACAGTTTTGTGCTGCATGATATCAACAGCACACAACGAGCCCATGTGCTGCATCGCACTGTGTCCTGAGACATACTGTTCATTTTCACCCACTAATTAGTTGCGGGAACTAAGGCAATCAGTGCAGACACACATCAACTGCCACACAGTTTGCATGTCTAGCTTAGGGCACAAATAGAGTTTCCAATTTACTACCATTGCTGTGCACAACGGTATTTTCACAACAAAAACCGGTGCCCTGTTTGGCTACAGAGTCCTGTGTCCATCAACTGTCTAAGTTTCATGTGCTTATCCTGCAGTCACAACGGAAATCTTTTTGGCTAAAGACTGGATAAAAGTGGCTGTAATGTCACACGTATTATTCTAATCGGCATCAGTTGTGAATGTTACAATCCATGCGTTGCAATGAACAGGCAGATGTTGGATTTGTTAATTTTCTGCCAGAATTTCACAGTTTTCCTCTCGAATCTCACCTCACCATTAACAGCAAGGGATGCAGTCCCCAATAAGCTGCCGCCGCCAAGCCGAACGCACACAGGGGTATGTTCGACGTGGCCCCTCCGTAAATGCTAACGTACACCAAGAGGTTCTCGATGGACCCCAAGGAACCCCCCACGCATGCCAACACCGTCAGGGGATTCAACAAGTACAGAACGCCAGCGCTCTTCCACCCTGCACCGACAGCCAACAGGTCCTGATCCGAGGCGAGACAATCGTGATCAGGAAGTGGCACCGGCAACAAATGCCTCGATCTGCTGATCTGGAGGAATCAGACGCCACCCTTCCAACGCAAACGCCAGTTTGTCGTTTTCGCTCGAAGCCACACGACCCTGCTTTCAATGATCAACCCAGTAGCGGGGCCAATTGCAATAGGTGCAAGAACGAAACCAGTCCATACCGGGTGACAGTCCCCAAAGCTGGGCCAGCCTGGAAAGCAGCGCAGCGCTGGCCACGTCCGCGGCAATCAAGGGCGCCAGGCTCCACAATGGATGCCTGGCGACGCCTGAAAAGACGGATAGTGCCAGGGGTGGCCCATGGTACGCATCCCCCGTGTATGGCGACAGCCCCTGGTCGCCCAGCGCGAGGCCCTCCCGCACGCGCACAAGGCTGCTGAGCGGCGACGCGATCTCCACCCTGCCCACGAGCCGGGGGGCGGCACCGAGCCCAGCCAGCAGGGTGCGCAGGGCCACGCCGCACCAAATGCGCCTGTCGAGGATCCCCGCCATGGGGACTGGGAGCGCAACGGGCTCCTCCGTGGGCTGTGGGGTGGCAGTCGTGGCGCATGTGCGGACGATTTGAACCCCAGTTGTGAGTTGTGTTGTGATGTGGGGCTATGCGTCATATGCGCCCCTGTGGTGAATGTGGGGGGTCCTGCATCGGGGCCTGCGGTGCCTGTCCGGGAGCCTGTCGCCGCCGCCCGCCGCTTCGACCTTGGCCGCGAGGGTGCGTGTTGGGCGCTGAACCGCAGCGGCGCTCGCGCATCGCTGGCACGGGAAGGCTGTTGAGCGCACGCTGCCAACCCACGCGCCCCTTCGGGCGCAGCGGTCCGGCACGAGCGGCATGTGTAGGACAGTGCAAATTGGCTGACCCATTCCTGCGCGTAGCTGTCAGAGGGTGGGCTGTTGGTCCGCGCCATAACTGGAGAAGGATGCCGCCTTTCCATCCTGCACCGGCAGGGCGCTGGCAACTGGCAATCTTGACCCCCAGTTTGCTGGATTTGGAACGGGCCTGTTGACCAATCTGAATGTTGGCTGCAAGATTTGCCATCAAATGTTTGGTGCGGCCCGTCTTGCACCGAGGATTCCTTTCGGGCATTATTTGCTGGCTCTCCGGTTCATCCTCTCCCATACTATGAAAGGGGTGCCAAACATGTTGCTCACCAGGGGGGCGATGCCCACTGGATGACATGTCTTCTATTTTCTCATGACTGTTAAGATCAGTGCGTGAATGATGCTCCGCACATTTGTTGCACCATTGAGCTGTCTGACACTGACAAACAAACCTCTGGTTTTGCAGGACATCAAGGGTCTCGGCACTACTTCCAGGAGAAAGGCCTTGCAGTTGCTTTTGAGGGAAGTAAGGAGAAAGAACAAAACATCAGGTGATGGAGGGGTGCTCTACAAGAGACCAAAAGGTGTCTTGGTGTTTGGGAGGAAGGCACTCAGGCAGGCTAAAAAATGCAGGGCCGATGCAAAGAGAGAATGGGGCGCTGTGATCCAGGAGAAATTTGACTTGAAGGATGGCAACACCTTGACGCCGATGCAGCTGCACCAAGCCGTGCTGGAGCTGTTGAATGCGGCCGCCCCACCAAGAGTGTATAGGGTGAGATCCAAGCTTGCAACTCAGCTGGCAAGGAGAGCAACTCCGTTGCTGGGCCTTATGAGTCCCAAGAGCATAGTTGACCTGATGCACTGTCTCTCAGTGCTTCGTTTCAGTTGCCTCCATGAGTCCTTGTTCCAGCAACTGGGCGAAAGAATAAATTTGTCTCGAAGCATGCACTTCCGAGAGGCTTCAAATCGAAATTGGTGGTTGGGCCCTGAATGTTGGCGAATGGGAAGGAATAGGCTGCTGGAAGATTTGTGGAGGAAGTTGAAAAGTATGATGAAGGCTTGGCAGCTTCGAATGTCACACCCCCTGCACCAGGCAAGCTCAGCATGGACAACAAAGGAAGCACCAAAAGGACCTGTTCTTGGCAAGGACCCACAGGTGCCCATGGGAGCAGCCGGACTTTGGTTGAAATTGTGTGCTGAGTTGAACCCTATCGTTGCAGCTTCGGCAAGGTTTCCCATCTTTGCTGCCTTTTTCTCCCTTCCAGCCAGCCCCTTTGGGTTCACAGCTTTCTCTTCCAGCTCCACGCATGGCAGGAAATGGCATGCTCGCATGGCGAGACGCAGGTTGCGGTGCCTCAATGGCAAGTTGGGTGGCTGGACCATGGTCCAGAGCAACAGCAAAGCTTTCAAGCAGCACGAAATGTTCTCCCACAGCCAATTGGTATCCATTTTGCAGTCACTGTCAGCCCTTCGGTACTACAACATGTCGCTTCTGAACTCGGTTCTGGATCAATTTCATCTGTTGTGGAAGCAAGCCCCAGATGTCGATATGCCCTGGGTGGTCATGGCAGTACATGCATGTGCGAAAATGCATCATCACCACGATGTCTTCCTTGATTGTGTGTGCGAATCGCTGCAAGCCAGTGGTGGTTGGCAAACGCTTGGAGATGCCAAGACGGTTTCAAGGACCCTTTGGTCGCTTGGCGTGCTGGGGCGGTTGGATACTGAGCTGCTGGAATCTGGTTGTTCAAGGATCCGGAGCCTCCAGGCTGTGGAGAAGACTCCATTCCCCAATTCATGCATCAGGCAAATTGTGCAGGCATCCAAGACAATACAGTGCGTGCCAGCAGAAGGGAGCTATAGCACAGTGCTGGGCTGGGGAGAATTGCGTGTGCTGGCAACCAAAACGTCCTATTTCCAGAGGGATGTGGCCAACACTCTGAAGAGGGCAGGCTACAGCAATGTGCTGGAAGTGCCCCTGGGTGATGGACTGGTGGTGGTCGACATCATGGTGGAATCACACAACCTTGTGATTGAAGTGGATGGCCCTGAACACTTCTCCAGCAACAAATTCCGTGGACAGCTTAGACCATTGGGTTCTACTGAACTGAGGAACAGGATCATCCAGAGGCTTGGGTTTCAGGTATTCTAGAGCCTCAAAGCAAAGGCTCTGCCCCTTTTTCCTAGACGTTCAGGTGATGGTGCGAATTCCAACGTCTGGCATTGGGAGCTTCACAATCGTATTTGCACGCTCCTGTTCCTGGACCATGACCTGTGTGCACACCCATGTTCTGATGAATGGGCGCACATGTGGGTGCACTGGCTTGCAGTTGTTCCCTGTGCAGTGAAAAGCCCTGATTAGCACACTGCTCTGGGCTTGTGCAAGGTGCTTGGGCTCTTGTCCATACCATGCGATGCCCATCAGATATGGCACAACACAAGAACACAGTGTGGAAGCGGTTAGTCCCCACACTTGATTACAAGTTCAATACATACCAGGGTGGTCAGCACAGTGTGGCATTGTGGACGCTGCCTGTGGTGAAAGCTGTGCAATTCCGGGCTCAACCATGCTGTGTGGTTGCTCTGCATGGACATCTGCAGTATTCACTAGATCGCCACTGGTGATGGACTTTTACCACCAAAGGATACAGCAGCTGCACTGAATGGTTAACAATAGATTGAGCAGTTCCTGGTGACAGAAACGTGGCAAATTGCATGCTGTCAGGCATTGTCAATAACAGTTGGTGTGTAGTGTGATGCCTCACAGCCTCTCATATGAAAAAGCATTGTTCAGAGAGTTTCTCCGTGTCTTGCTGCTTGCTGCCCTTTGGGTCAAATGCTTTGATGCGTCGCCACGAGGATACTCACAGCCTGTCACCTGAAGTCGCGTGTTTTGTCCCCAGGTGCGCTGTGTCCCTTTCTATGAGTGGAATTGCCTGCACAGCGAGAAACAGAAGGCTCGGTACATCAAGGCGCTTGTATCTGGGGTATGGCGACTGTAGACATCGTTTCGACTGTGCCCTCCCACGAGAGCAGCTTGCTTGCTTCCCCCTTGCTTGGCTGTTTGACAGTGTCCATCCTCTCCCTAAACTGCTGGGCCCCATGGCAATGGGCATCCAGTTCTCGCTCACCACAACTTACTGAATCCAGCCAGATCAGGGGAGCACCCAACAGGGGGTCTTCCCTGGACCCCATAAGCCGAACTATTGCAGCACTTAATGGATGCCAGCTGTCAGAACCAGTATTGAGGGCGCTAGTTCTGTGAATTTGAATTTCAAGGTGTGAATTTGGCGCCCCCACGTTACGTTGCAAATATCTAATCTTGAGACTGGAATGTCCTGCGCTCATTGCTGGTAATTGTAGGAACGGATTGACTGTCTTGGCATGGGTCTTGCCAAATGTCTCGCCGCGTCCAATTGTCCAAACAACTGAGCCAACGTTCTCATCCCCCTACTCCCCGACAGTGTTTCCATGTGCGCACAACGATACTGTCACTTTGTTCGAAGGGAACGACAGGCCCCTAACATTGTTTCAAGGTTCACAAGAGGGCGGGGCATTTCTTGGATCTGTCATTTCGACACGTCGCAAGACTTGCTACTGGATTGACATTGTGACAGCAGGGCCAGACTCGCCATTGGTAATGCGTAGAGAAGACGGCTCGTATGGCTTCTTGCCGATGGACGGTTGTCAACTGATGGCCGTGCAGCCCCGTCGCTCACAGCACTTGTGTGAGTCGCAGTCAGGGGTGTAAATTATGCTGGGCAGATGCGCTCCAGTCACCTTAACAATTCAGCGAGCACATGGAACACCTCACGCAGATCCTCTTTTGCCACATTTATCGGGCCTTGGATGATAAAATGCAGTCTACCAAGGCTCGGCCCGTTTTTCATACAGCCATCATTCATTGGAGAATGGGCAAGGGCACTGTAAGCACAAGGCGTTTGGCCAGCCTTTGGGACCGTGCGCTGGTAAGTGCAACCCAAAGAAGACACTTGGTCGGGCTGGAAAATAGGCAGACAATGCACAGCAATGATGTGATTTCGATGAGGCGCAAAACCGCCCCTTCCCGCTCCTCTCGAGGAAGCATGCAACAGGCACCGGGCAGAACATTGTTTGCTTCACTCCCATGTCTTGCTAAGGTCGTTTATTCGTGTGCAGCACTGCACCCATGCCTGGTTGCTTGTATAACACAACGCCACCCATTCTGCAGTTCAGGTCAAAACTCCGCCCATTATGTCTAGGTAACTACCTCGAGACCTTGCCGCTACTGCTCAAGCCGATACAAATGGAGAATGGAGAAATTGCAAACGCCAGCTGCACCAGCCTCATTGCTATCCTGTCCTCCACGTCACTCACACCTGTGCGGTAAACCAAAAACTGCATCCTGCTGCTCTCGTGTACAGGGACAACCCGCGCACTTTACCGTGCTGAACCCTCAGTGACTTCGTTTGAAAAGTCGGTAAAACATGCTGTTCTGGTCAATGCCATGGTGTGCAAACGAGGGTTGCTCTCTGACGGCAGCATTCAGGGGGTTGCTGGAATCGCCTGCCACATGCGTTGGCCCAGCAAGGAACAATTGGTCCCTAGCACGCAGATGCACACAGTCACACACACACACACACGCACAGCAGCACTAAAATCTGCACACCAGAGGGGCAGATAGTATCTTGAAGGGAAATGGGTATTCAACGGTGCTTTGCCAGCGGCATCCTGCATTTTCGGAATTCTTCGGTGCTGTCCAACGACTCCAAGGAATCAAAACAGTCTCTGTGCTTTCTTGCCATCAACTGCGCTTGCTTTACCCAACGGCAGCAATGCGAGCGACCAAAATCCAACTGAGTAACACAACTCATATCCCCCCTCCCCCAGCAGCAAGGGCAGGCAGAGATTCTTTGTGCACTGAAAAGAATATTTGCCATGTTGTGGGCACTCCCTGAGGAAGGAATGTGTAAGCATCTTTAAAGGTGCATGGACAGTTGTCTCACCTACACAACCAAGGAAGGCAGGCGTTCCATTGCGCAAATGCATGTCGAAACGGTGCAATGGCACCTTCCCAAGGCCCTGGCTTGTGCAGCTCCTCGCCAACCCATTTCATGAAAAGGTACGCATCGTATCGTGTCTGGTTGGGGTTGATCTGCCGTCCGCTTCGAATGCAGTAGAAATTCTCCATGCAAGCCACACAACGAAAGCAGCTCTTCTGATACAGTAGCATCGCAGCTTGGTTGTAAGAGATCACGTGGAGGAAGACAACGCTCGCCCTGTGTGAAAGACAATCACGCCCAAATTTATCTTACAACGAACACGTATATGGCCATGAAAACAACAAAAAATGAGCCAAACATCCACCACACAGGCTGTGGCCAGCAGCAGTCTGAGATATCTTATGGCTGACCTAGACACGGTTGAACAGACAACTAGAAGTCGCGTGCGCAAGTTCACTGTGGCGATGGTGGTCGTGTAGTACTGTTGCTTGCCGCTGTGCCCAGCAGCAACATGCAAGCTATGCAGGTCACCTGCACCAGCACATCTGAGGGTGGCAGCATATGCCCTGTACGCTGGCGCTACGCCCTGGGAAATGCTCATCCACTGACATTCCAATGAAGCGGCCCCTCCTTGAACGCCGCACGGTATGAAGAGGCTCGCACTGTCCAATTTATATCCAAATGACCTTATTGACTCCATGGGCCACATGCCAGCGCTTTCCTTCTCGGCTTGCAGTGCGCGATTTCCTTCCTTCTCTTGCGTCGGCATCAACTCCCAGCGTCCACAGTATGGAGGCATCTTGCCACAAAGAGGGTGACAATCGTATGCCCTGATTTCCTTTTGTTAAATACATACCGTCGGCATTATGCTTATGCTTAAGACTTGCTGTCCATTATTGACATGCTCACCCCATGCAGGCAGCGCAATCTTCCAACCAGTCGATCAGTTTTGTGGCAATACCCAGCCTCTGGTACTCTGGCAAAACGCCCAATGTCAGGATGTACACAACTCTCAGTCCGTTCAAGCTGGAATGGTCCAGTCCCATGTGTCGCCGATCCTGTCGCAGCAGGTGTGGATACATCATGTTACAGTGGCACAGCACTCGTTGCCACAGCAGGCCTTGGCAAGTCAAACTGTTGTTCCAGTCATCTGCAAACAGGTGCACAGTCCCAGTGGCCAACAACGTTTGCTTTGAAGTCGTACGTTCCAAGTCGGGCTGTTTGCCTAGAACCAACAGCACACGCCACAACGCATACCTGCCGCAGCTGGACTGGGCGTGGCCAATACCCCACAACACCAAGACATGATATCAAAGCATGGGGCAACATGCAACTACCACAGTATCACAATAGAGCTCTTGTCACAGTGTTCTTTTGAGGAGGCTGACCTGAGCTGAACCAATACTCACTACATTCTGTGTGCAACAGCAGCCATCACACTTAGCATCCTCAGAGCATCAATATATCCAACAGAACAACTTCTTGTATCAGCACATCTGAGGCACCAACCTTTGCAAACAACTGCATATTTCCTATCGGAAGGTACATCAAGGCATGGACGTGATAGCGAGTTTCTCAACTTTATTGCAACAAAACAAGGCACAAAGTCTTTTCTTATTCTGTGCTGTTGGGAAACTTCCCAACAGCATTTGCTGTAGCATGCACCCTGTGTGACATCTGATGTACATTCGATACATGTTTCTGCAACTTGGTTGACAACTGCACATATCTCAACAGCTGATGGGGATGGACAGCTGGCACAACTGGCTGTAGCCAGTTTCTCCAGGATATCACGCATTCCACCTGCACTTCTATCACAGGCACAATACTTATTCACCTCCTTACCATGGGATCGACCTCCACCAAAGGCAGGACGCGGGCAGTGACAAAGCCAACGAGTTTCTCGCTGCCACTGCTGTAGTCCACAGCAGCATAAGATATGATCCTGCTGGCATAGATGCACTACTATTTAGAACGCGATGCTTTACAATGCTCTATGGTGGTTACCACCCAATTGCTGTGCTCATTCTGGTGGACACAACACTCACTGCATCAGTTTTGGCAAATTGCAACCTCATGCAATCAACCAGGCTGAGCATACAAAACATTTCTGTTCCACAAGTTACTAATGACTGCTGCTGAATACCTTGCCGCCGATGGAGGCATCCCATACCTGGTGAGGCCATTGACGGCCTTGTCGAAGAACGAATCATCATAGTCTATGGGGAATAAGTCCACGTGGGCGGCCTAAAAGTTAACACACACGAGTTGCCCTCAAGGATCAAAATATATCCGGCAAGGACTGGTGGAACAAGGCAATGCAGAAGCATTAAGAATGCGAATGCTGATCCTAGCTCCATTGCTGCTGAAATCTTTCCCATGCTAAACACTATTTCTTCCCTGACATATGACCATCAAGCTGATCAGGAACCAAGCACGCATTCGACAGGCCAAAGCTTGTGCCTCGCATCTTGAGGCCCCACCCGAAGAGCAACGAAGTCCTCTGGCAGCAGGGATCTGTAGAGAATGTTGGGATGGCGGAGCACATGCTGCACACTCCCTGGTGGCTGCATGGCCAGGGTGGCGGACTCACGGTCTCCGCGCACCAGGCCCATGGGCCCAAGCCATGTGGGCGCCGCTCCCTCCAGTAGCGTCCACGTTGCTGCCACGGGGTGTCAGGGCCCCCGGAGGAGCCTGCCCACGCGTGCTGCGCAGAAGTAAGCCGTTTCAGGGCCGCCGACGACCCTGGGGAAGCGAGGCGGAGCGGGACAAGCAAATCGGTCTTCTTGCCAAAAAGGCAGGCGTGTGGCGGGCGCAGTGACGATATTTCGCCATTGCCTCCGGACACGTGCTTGCCCAGGGCCCGCGGTGGAGGCGGTTGATTCGCGCTGGCTCCGCATGTCGACAGTCCGGCGAGCGCAAGACAGTGAGCTTGGCAGGGCGAAAGTGTGCGCGAAAGCTTCCCATCGCCTGTGAGACGTCTGCGGGCAGCCCTGGTGCCCGGCGTTCATTGACTTTCGAGCGGCGCGCGTCCCATTTTGTGGGAAGGTGCACAGCGGGAGCGCGTGCTGTGCGGAAACAGATTGGGCAACCCGCCCCGTCGCCCTATTCCCCGCTAACCTGGCAAAGATCCTGCACCGAGTGGAGCACTGGCCGCGTCTCCTCGCAGTTTAGAGGCGGGTTGGGACACTGCAGAAAGCCAGGTGCCCCGCACCACTGCCAGCCACACGGCTATTGCGGGTGTGCAATAAAACCGCTGTGGGTGCGTTTGCTCTGAAGCAACCCCACCCCACCCCGTTGGGGACGAAGGTGATTCGAACAGTGTTTCGCTCATCATTCCGCACTTGCAGCTATATTTTCCACAAACCTCTCAAGGCGCATTAGAGCATCTTTATCGATGGGTGCCATTGTCCCGGCGGAGCTATTCGGCTATCCGAATAGCACCGCACGTGAAAAAACCATCATTAAGAGCATCTTTATCGGTGGGTGCCATTGTCCCGGCGGAGCTATTCGACTATCCGAATAGCACCGCACGTGAAAAAACCATCATTAAGAGCATCTTTATCGGTGGGTGCTATTGTCCTGGCGGAGCTATTCGGCTATCCGAATAGCACCGCACGTCAAAAAAACATCATTAAGAGCATCTTTATCGGTGGGTGCTATTGTCCCGGCAGAGCTATTCGGCTATCCGAATAGCACCGCATGTCAAAAAACCATCATGAACAGTTGGGGAGCAATAGCACCCCAATAGCACACCCGGAGCTATTCGGCACCGAGCGGCGCTATTTTGGCCCCGAATAGCACCGCTCGGGGCCGAATAGCACCCCAGAATAGCACTAGTGCTATTCGCGCAGAACATTGTAGTGTTGTTGTCATGCTATTCAGCGTAGGCATAGCACCCACCATTGCGGATGCGCGCAGGGGAGCAGTAGCACCGGCGCTATTCGGCAAAAGTCGCCTTAGTAAGGCGGCACGGCAGCCAATGAGAACCGTTCCTGGATAACTCCGTCGGTGCAATAGCGCCGTCCAATAAAGATGCTCTAGCGATTGGGAAGCAGTTGCACCCCAATAGCGCCTCCGGAGCTATTCAGCGCCGAGCGGCACTATTTTGGCCCCGAATAGCACCGCTCGGGGCCGAATAGCACCCCAGAATAGCTCCGGTGCTATTCGCGCAGAACATTGTAGTGCTGCGGTGATGCTATTTGGCATAGGCGTAGCACCCGCCATTGCGGATGCGCGCAGGGGAGCAATAGCACCGGCGCTATTCGGCAAATGCCGCCTTAGTAAGGTGGCACGGTAGCCAATGAGAACCGTTCCTGGATAGCTCCGCCGGTGCCATAGCACCGACCGATAAAGATGCTCTTACCAATTGAACTTTGCGTTTGGCATCTCAATAACATCTTCTGGCGCAATGCAAGCCAATCGCCGCAGCCAACACTGGTTTTGCCATCATCTGCTTTGGAGCAGTTGACACTATCTCTTGAAGCAGAGCCACAATGCAAATCGCCAGGTAAACATGCTGCCGCAGCTTCGTGGCCAGTGCATGATATCTAAACACACGAAACTCATTCGAGCTGCACTGTAAGGCCAACATGTGGCGATAACACATCACAGGGCCATGAGAGACCCCCAAGTCCCAAGTCCTTACCTGCAGCTAGACGTTTTAAAGTCCACCAACTGAACGGAAGCAGTGGAAGTCGGCTCCATGACTTGAACAGTGAAAAGGACTTCCAAAGGAACAAGCTGAAAAGAGGCCGTCTTCATGGGTTGGGAAAGTGACGTACTGATTGGAGCACTCTCTTAGGAGACCTACTCAGTTTTCCGCCAACTGAAAACTCTGAACTGGCTCTGCCAGCAGCAACATTTGCATATCAACAGGTGACACAGAGTACAGGAACCCCATAAGCCACGACCAAGGGAACCATTGCAAGCACGCAGCCTGGAGGCCACATGTAGCAATGGAACCGGCCGCTGCACATGGCATGCGGGTCGCCTGGGTATCTTATTCAATCAGGCATGGCAGTGCAATACCATTGCAATGCAACGAGAATATTCAACATAATCTGCAATTACCGACTGCAATCTGCCCATGCCAGACAGGTGCTTGGGGGATGTGCGTAGCCTTTCAGTACAACAGGAAACAATGGGTACCTTTGCAATTTGCAAGTAGCAACGTGCAGGGTGACCGCAATGCTTAACTAAAAACGTCAAAAGAACTCGATCGGCTCCACCTACCCCTGTTCGAGACCTCGAGGAAGCCCAAAACGTTCGCTACCACGCTCACTGTGATGCACCTTTCTACTATACTCTTGCACAGATTGGCAAGAGTCGCCAATCCTCAACGAACACCCTGCAGGTTTGTTGCCAATTCCAGCAAACCCATGCTTCTTTTCTGACAATAAATGCAGTATTTTCTTCTGCAGATATAAGTCCCTATCTTTCCTTGACATCATCGCCCACTTCCACTGGCTGAGGTCCAAAATACCCCAACCCAATGCCCTCAACACACGACGCCTCCAAATTTGCGGGCCCAAGAGCCTGTTTGGAGCGTTGCGGAAGGTGACGTCCAACTCTAAAGCAAATCTTTGCTCCAGTCCCCTGTGCCTCACCGCATTGATTGCAAACCTCTTGCCAAATATGAGTTCACTACGTGTGCAGGTGAACCCCATCTTCCTCACCATGGAGCATGCGTCAAACACAGGCTGTGCAGTGTGCTTTCGCCACCGCAGGCTTTCACTCCAGCTTCTTTGGCAGTCCTCTTCAAATTCAGGACTCAATCGAATGCTTTCAGCTATTCTTGGGTGCAAAATGTGGACGTCCAGCAAACACTGATAGAATTGCCGCCGGTGCATGTCGTCCAAGTGGTGCTTGCTCAAGTTTCCAACTTGTTCAGCCATCCATTTGAACATGTCTGTGTCGATGCAGCTCAGAATTGCAAACGACCATGATATGTCAAAGAAGTGCTTTGTCTCCAACGGCTTGTCCAGCATCAAGCAATAGCTGCGAGCTGCATCTACAAACTGCTGGTGATGGAATCCGAAATCAGCCACAGCAACCAGACATGTGGTCAACATGGCTGGCGTGAATGCGGGCAGCTGCAGAGCACAAGCGCCCAAGGCCCGTCGTAGGAAGCCATCCCCAGGATAGTACCGGAGCTTCTGCAATCCAAGAAGCAAGGGGGCAAATTGCTCTCCCTTGAATGCATCCATTGCCTTGTCCGCCATCTGAACCGCAGCACATGTTACACCCGGTTGTAGAAATGCTGGCACAAAAAGGCTTGTTGAGCAGGGACATCAGAGAATTCGAGATTGAGTGCAAGACGTCACAGCTGGCGGTTTCCATGCCAATCTTTCAAAGGTGCATTCCGGCAAATTGCTAGTTACTGTCCATCATGGAGCCTGACCCACCTTGCACATCACGCTCAACATGTCATCGATGCCCTCCCACTTCATCTTGTGTGCGGCCCAAACAAAGTCAGACACGTATTCGGGGAGGAGGCACTCAGACCTTCTCTCCAATATCAGGGGCACCACTGCATCCAAAAAGGGCCTGCAGTCGGAGTACACCACTTCTAGACGAGCAAGCCCCCAGATCACCCGTGCGAGGTGTTCAAGTCGGAACTCGTTCAGTCTTGCACGACAATGGTCTGCCATGGCCAGCAAGTAAGCTTCGTCGCGATATTTCGTGTTTGCAATGCCACTGATGACCTTGGACAAGTCATCAGCTGTCATATCCCTTGCAAGAGCCTTTGTATATTCCAGGACCTTGGTCAACAGGGAATCGATGTGCCCCTTAGGGCCAAGGGCCTTGCGAACCTGGAGCCCATACCTTCCCAAAGCAAACACAACATCACCCACGTCTCTGCAATGCAGTTCAGACATCTGATCCACAAACTTCTCCATCAAAAAAACCAACGTCCAACCATGCTCCTCCAAAATCCATATCTTAAGTTCATCTGAGAAGTTCAACTTGCTGAAAATGATGATTAGCCTTGCCACCTCCTTCGGCAGGAGGTCAGCTTTTCTAATTTCTAACAAATCACGCAGGGCAGGGAGAGACTGAGCACACATATCCTTCAAGCGGGATGCATCAGAGGTACCCAGTGAGGCATCTGCAAGTTGTGCCATCTTTTCCATTAACAACAAGACGTCCTTGACAACATTGGGCTGGCTTTTGATCGAATGGGTCATCTCGCTGTGGGGCATTGTATCCTGCAATGCAGCAAGCACCACGCAGATAATCCATATTTGACTGCACTACAAATTCCAGTAAGAAATAGTCTGTTCTCAGGAAATGGCTGTCGTTTGGCAGCAGTAAGGTGCGAGCCAATCAACACAGGACAAATTCTCTGTATCTCCTCTGTTTCTGTCTGGGAAATTCACTTCAAGGTTGGGCACCGTGGCGAGCCTCAATGGCATGCTGCAGGGACCAACAGAGAGAACTTGATGCAAAACCAATCCTATTGCCTGACCTTCAAACGCGCGTCACTTTGCATCAGTCAACATCATCATTTGTAATAATTCTGGGCAAGGACGTCAAAACCCTGCATTCCTAGCAAAATGCATATCTCTTGACTGTCCTCCTAACTGTCCAATGATGTGTGACAAGAGAAAGGAGGTTTTGCTGCAGAATGTAGCACGTACTGATGACATCTGCAAAATAAGGCACCGGTCCTTGCACCCATCGGGTAGCACTGGGCATTCCCACCGCTGGAATCAACTCCAACTTTCGCACCTGGCTGCTGGTGCCGCTGCCTCCCCCCACAGCAGTGTGGAGACACCCCCACTGCTTGGGCCCATCAGCAAGCACCCTAGCAAGAGAAATCACAGGTTACCCGGAGCACAATCAAAGCACAGCCGCCACCGGCCACGTGAGACTGTGGATTTGTGATCAGTATTCCCGACTTGATGTAGGTAATCCAAGGCACACCCTTGCATGTGGGGGCACTCGACGCCGTCTCTGCTCTCCATTGCTGCCCACGCACGTTTTTTTGGGTTTTTCTTTGAGAATGAACTTACAAGCCGTTCCATCCAGATTCGCCCATGTCACCAAGTAGACTTGCGCCAAAAACGCGCCAAAAATTTGCCGCGCACCAATTGCACCAACACCGGCCATTGATGCATTGAAGGAAAGCAGCCGCCAACTGCGCACTGCAACCAGCTCAACATCTCGCTCACCTGGAACGTGCTCCGCGCAAGGGCACAGCTGAGTTGTCATTGTGCGGAAGCTCAAGTACCGAAGGCATTGCACATCCTCCCTGGGATGCCTTGCTTGGAATGTGGACCGATCCGGTCAGCAGGGACGTCCTGGACTCGTCACTGAGAAGGCGGCACAAGAGCCTCCCTCCCATGCGTGGCTCCAGGCCGCACCGCCAGGAAAGCAAGGCAACCGAGCTCCACAGAGCGCGAGCGCGGTGGTCCCAGGACATTTCCATCCGCAAGACAACCGCTCGGCTCCCACGGTTGCAATGCACATGCACCCCAGGGCAACCGACAGCTGGAGTCCTCCAAGTGTTTGTGGCGCGGTTATGTACAATTGTCGACTGGTGCCCACAACCCCAAGCACGCCCTTCCCGCGGCAGGAAGCCGAACAGGCACTCGGACGACCTGTGGTCATTCTGATCAGGTTCTCATTCTGGAACAGTTTCAACCGGGTTTTCTTTTGACGGGTGTTTGCCTTATTTTTATGTGCTCTGTCGCGAAACGGAATCATGTATTTTTCAGTGGTTTCTCGAGCCCGACGTCGCCAACGGACAATCAACTGGAGTGTTCGCAAGCCACTACAAGTGTTTGGGGGTCGCACCAAAGTGAGCATCTTTAGGTCCTACACAGCACTGTGAGAGGCCTGGCATCGTTTGACTGAAGTGTCACAGCTAGACGCAGCCCAGCACGCTCAATTATTGGGCGCAGGACTTGCCTATGCACCGCAGCATGTCGCCACCGAACGCCTCCGTGCTACCCAGTAAATGACATTAACTATCTTGTTAATAGATTTCCACCTAGGACGACGTTGGGTGGGTTGCGCCGAGTTTCGAATCGGGCGCAATCGTATTCAAACTGGTCTCTGGCCCTTCCTTGTACCTTGGGTCAGTCAAAGTACGGAGTGTCCAAGGGTCCGCCCGTTTTGGCGGCTTGGACTTGGCGGGCTTTGGCGGGGCTGAGCGGGGGCGGCTATTTAGGCTCCCCCCTCGGTCCCCCTCCTATCTTGTTTCGCTTCGCACCACTTGTTGGCACAACCCGAAGGCACCGAGTGCCTTGCCCTCCCCGGCCGTCTTGGCCGAGTTCTTTCTATGAACCGGACACCTGCGGAGCAGTGGCTTCAAGAACAAGCCGTCCGGTTCAACGACGGTCCGCCTACGGCTTCTCTCGACGCCGTCTGGCTACCAGACCCTCGACTCCTTCCGCGGTCAGTCACCAACCCGGTGGTCCGACCTCCGGGGGTCCGTTTTCCCGAGTGGTTCGACGTGAGGCGGACTTCAGAAGGCGCGCAGCTCGCGCAGGCGCTGGGGACCAACTCCGGCTACTTCCAGGAGTACCAGAACTGGGCGCCCTACGTCGCGTGGCTCTTCGACCTCACGGCCGCCTTGATCGACTTCGCGGTGCACCAGGAATTCCCGCCCATCTTTCGGGACGCCCTCTTGCCGTACCTCCATGCCCAGGTGACGATTATGACAAGATTGCAGAGCCTAATCCGTCTCCAGCAAGTGCACGGGGAGCACAAGGGGACATCCCTCGATGGGTTGTGGCGCGCGCTCCAGACCAACGTTCGGTTGGGCGCCGTTCATCGCCACTTTTGGGATCCTTTGATCGACGAGCCGCTGGAGCACATTTGCAAGGAGGTCCTCAATCAGCAGTTGAAGTTGGCGACCAAGTCGGCTGCCGCCAAGAACCAGGCCAACCTCGATCGCGCCGCTCCGGCTCCCAATCCTGCGGGCGCGTCCACCTCCAACGCTCGCCACTTCAAGGGCAAGAGTTCCAAGCCGCCGGCGGGCCCCAACGCTCCGTCCCAGGTCCCCAAACCCGCCGCCTAGAGGACCCTCTGTACGCTCGTCTTCGGGGCCGTCTCTCCGGGTGGCGCCGCATCGGGGCGCCTTCACGAGTCTTGCAATGGATCCACACCGAAGCCCCCCTTCAATGGGGTCCGATGGGCCCTCCGGCCCCCTTCGATCAGGGCGAATACCCCTTGACGACCCCGGAGGAATGGCGAGCATGGCGGGAGCTACGGGACGAGTACCTCGAGACGGGGGCGATCGTTCGGACCAACCCCTCTTCCGACGCCCGGATTTCGCGCGCTTTCTTGGTGGCCAAGCCGGCGGAGAATGGCAAGACCAAATACCGGCTCATCATCGATCGTCGGCGAATCAATCGCCATTTCAAGAAGGTTGGTCTTCGTTATGAGAAACTGCGCGATTTTGGATTTCTGTTGAAGAAGCACGATTACTTGGTGGGATTCGACATCAAAAACGCTTATCATCATATTCGGATGAGGGCGGATCAAGAACATTTTCTTCAATTTCGCATGGGTGGGGAGACATTTGCTTGCCGGGCGCTCCCTTTTGGCTTGGCCCTCTCCCCCTTTTATTTCACGCAGCTCATGTTGGTAGTGGTCCGTTTCTTAAGGACCCCCAGCTCTTGTCCAAAAGCTGCCACTCGTTTTCGTTTTGGTCGCTTAGCGGGGGAGGATTCCATTCTCCAGTACTTTCTCCAGTACTCGCGGGAGCTTCCCGCGCTGATTTTGGCCTATTTAGATGATTTCATTGCTGCCATGTCGGATCCTCAGCGGCTCACCCAATGGTCCAGTTTGGTCCGCCGGGTTTTCGCCACTCTTGGGCTCACTTTTAAGGAGTCCAAGTGTCAGTGGGAGCCGGTCCAATGCAAGAAGCATCTGGGGATTATGATCGACACCAATCAGTGCCAATTTCAGGTCCCTCCAGACAAGGTTGCGGCCATTTCGCGGCGGGCCTAGGAGATTAGTCGACGGGGTTTCATTGTCGCTCGGGATCTGGCCAAGTTTTGTGGCTCCGCCATTTCCTTGTACTTGGCTTTTCCGTTGGCACGGTTTTTTCTGACGGATCTCTACTCTCTTTTGCACGGCAAGCGCTCTTGGCGAGATCGGCTTTGTTTGACCGCCGTAGCTCGTTTGGAATTAGCCGCCTGGGCCCAGATCGGTCGGTTGGCAGGCAAGTCGCTCAATTCCGCATCCTTGGAGCTGGTGGGCACCTTAGCTACGGACGCCAGCCTCACCGGCTGGGGGGCCACTTTTACGCCTCTGGGCGGTGATCAACCCCTTCTCGCCCACGGATTCTTTGATCGGGAGCTCATTCATATCAATGTCCGTGAAATGCAGGCCGTATACTTGGCCCTGCTGTCTTTCTTTCCTCGCCGGTGCCCCAGGACCGCTTCTCACCGGCTTCGGTTGCTCGTGGATAACCAGGTGGTTCTGCACTGCCTCAACTCGATGACTACCAAGTCAGCCGGTCTCTTGAGGCCCCTTCGCCAGTTGCAAGCTATTTGTGCGACATGGAAGTTGCTCTTGGAGCCCGAGTACATTCGATTAGCGGACAATATCCTTCCGGACATACTTTCGCGTATACGGACTTCGGAGGACTACCGCCTCAATCCGCGCATATTCCAGGAGGTCGTCCACCGCTTCGGGGCCTGTTCAGTGGACCGCTTTGCGTCCGCTCGGAATGCCCTCTGTGCGGCCTACAACAGTCAACATTGGGATGTGGGTACGTCGGGCGTCAACGCCTTCGCACAGAACTGGACGGGGACGCGCAGCTGGTGCAATCCCCCATGGAGCCTCCTCGCGAGGCTTGTCGCCTTTCTCGCCTCGAGGCCGCAACTGGACGCTGTGGTGCTAGCGCCGGACTGGCCGAGCGCGGTTTGGTTTCCCCGCCTCCGGGCAATGGCGCGGGCCGAGATCTTCATTCCCCGCCAGCCCAACCTCTTTCTCCCCGGGGATCCGAGCCTCCCGTCCTCCCTTCCACCTCCGCGCTGGAATTTGCGCGCCTTCCATGTGGCGCCGAGGACGCACCCGACGACACTGCGGACCCCACTGGCGAGAACGCCCTGAGCGAACCGGAGGCTCCGGCGCCTCCCGCTGGGGAGCCTCCTTCGGATCCTTTCCCCTTGGAACCGGTCCCCGAGGACCATCCGCTGTACGGCACCGAAGTGGATGGCTTGCTGGCGGACGATCGGAGCTGGATGGCCCAGCAGTTCCTTGCCTCCTATACGGAGGCCACCCGGCGGACTATGCAGGCCAAGTTCCTGCGTTTCCAGGCCTTTTGCGAGGCACATGCCTTGCAGCCGCTGCCCGCTCGTTACGCCACCATCTACCGCTACATTCGGTTCCTCCGCGACGAAGGCAAGGTGGGCGTTCATTCTTTGCCGCAGTATCTCGCGGCCATCTCCATGGTGCACCATATGTCTGGGCACCTTGGCTTTTCTGCCTTTGACCCGGTCACCCGTGTCCTCACCCGCGCATGGCGTCGGGATGCGCCAGCCCCCGTGCAACATCACCGCCCTGTGCCCATCGAGGTGATGATTCGCATCCTCAACGTGGGATTGACCACGGAGGACGGGGCCTTTCTTCGGGCGGCGTGCGCGGCATACATCGACTACATCTTTTTCAACCGGGCGCAATCGGGCCACTTCGTTCTGGCGGAGGACATTCGGGTGGCGGACGGGGTCGTTTTGTTTCGGGAACGCAAGTCCAAGCTGCACAAGGATGCGGCCCCTCGCTTGCGTTTTCGGTCCTGGCCGACCCAAGGCGCCCCGGAGGTCATCGATCTCATTCTTCGATGGACGGCTTTCCGCGACTGCGCCTGGGCCCAGACGGACCAAGCGCCTCGCCATTTCTACCGCCTTCCGGGCGAGGCGTCCCCCAGCTCCAAAACGGTGGCCGCTTGGTTTTTGGACTTGCTGGCCAGGCACCCGACCATCGCGCGGGAACCTTTTATGCACCATGGCCTCCGCGGCGGCGGTGCGTCCAGCTGCTTTGCTTTGGAGGTCGCCGAGCGGCGCATTCTGGACTGGGGTGGCTGGAAGTCAGACTCCATGTGGTCGTACGTGGACATTTTTCGTTTACCCACCGAGTGGGACTTTCGTTTGTTCGGGTGGATGACGATCACCGCCCGCGACCTCCACGCCCAGTTTGGGCACATTTTCTGCCCCGGAGGTGCCTCCCGTGCCCTTGGAGAGTGAATGGGCAAACTGTTAAGTATGGGGACCTCGGGAATGTGGAGTTGTTGGTGACGGACACCTTTGTTGTAATGCCTTGTCGTGTGGGAAACATGACCGGGTGGGTTCAGGAGACCGATCAGGTGGAAATGACATTAACTATCTTGTT